ATATTGATTAACTTCTTCCTGCCCCAAAACTGCAGTGCTGCCAAATGTGCATTACACAGTCAACAGGGAACATCAAGGGGGAAGATTTGTGCTGCTTGTTCCCAGGAGGACTGGGAATTGTCCTTCAGGCTCTGGTGCCCTCAGTTGTGGGTGGGATGGCTGATCCTGTCTTTGGCAGTGCTCCCTATCTTTGTAGTTCTCTTGCTGTCCTCTTAACCATATACAAAGTTAAAGCTAAGCATGATTTGTATTGGTACCTGCTCACACTGAGCTATGATCAAATTTTCAAAACATTGATTTTGCTGCAAGGATTATACCCTTTCTCATGCCTTTTTTTAAAGGTAACATCTAACATATTTCTCCTGATATGAATTTTGGAGGAAAAAGCTTGGAAACATTAAACAGAAATCCCATGTTCCTCTTTGAAGGCATACTTCTTTCTCAAAGACTTAATTTTGCAAGCACATTATGCCCTGTGAGAGGCTATTGCTACTTGATTAGTTACTTCCCTGTTTGCTGGCCTGGGCTAGTGGTGAGGAATATTTTGGGATCCTGCACACTATGGGAAGAGCTGTAATTGTTGAACTGCAGTATGATTTGTGTCTGTGCTTTTGGGCAATTCAGGCTGTGTGCTTCCCCAGTTTCTACTAGGGCTGAAAGGCTGCTGTTCTGGCTTTGATTGTATTTGCAGACAAAAGCAGTCTTCTACAGGGTAGGGTGCATTAGGTGCACACCTAAGTATAAATAATGAATTCTTGTTTTTATTTTTTTATATAGATTTGTTCGGACCGTGCTGCCATTTTCTCAGGAGTTTCAGCGTGATAAGCAGCCTAATGCACAGCCACAGTATCTCTATGGATCAAAGGTTGGATTTGATTCCCTTTATTTTTATGGTTTGCTAATGTTTAAAGGTATCTTTTCAATTATAGAAACTATGGTATGTGGAAGTTATTAGAAATGGACTGAAATACATTTTGTGTGTATTTTAAATTGAACATACCCTTTTTTTAAGACTTTGCTTGAAGCTCACCATATGTTTCAGCCAAAGTGCAATTGGTTAGTCTGATGTGTAGTCTTATATGACAAAGCTAAAAATAAACCCTTCTCTCAACCACCTTGCATTGTTCAGTTGCTAACAGTGGCAGAGCAGACTCAAAGTAAAGATTAATTACTCATTGATTACTCATCTGGTGAAGTGAGAACAAGAGCCCATCTTGGGTGCAGCCCTCCCTTGTGATGACAGAAGAAAATGGAATAGATAGAAAAACTGCTTCAGATGTTATCTGACTTAAGAGGAATATAGATTCTGACCATCTTAAACTATCAGATACCTAACTATTTCAATTATTTTTTTTAAATGTAATATTTCTTTGTACTCTACAACCCCAGAACTGCAAACTCATTGTGATGAACTTAGTGTCTTGGTCATCTCATCTTCTGTATTACCATCATATTTCCTGCTTTGCAGTTAGGTGGGCTGGGAAGGTTTGTGCAAGTTTTCAGTAGAAGGGTACAGGACGTGCAGTCACATACTCTGTCCCTGGGGCAATCCCCAATGCTGAGGTTGGAAAGGAGTTTGTGTGGGTGACAGCTTGGAAGAGTGCTTGACACAAGAGAACAGCTGTGGGCTACCCAAGTGAGGAAAGTTAGCCTGCACTCACAGGACCAATGCTATGCTCATGGGTGAGAGATTTGTTCTCCCTGATCACTGTAGATTTATTTTCTTATTCTTCAGAATTATTTCTTGTGTCTTAATGACAGTTAAAGACATAGTGCATTAACATATATTTACATTTTTAATATCTAGTCAGAAATATTGATCTACTTCAAACAGCAGTAAAAACCAGCAGTGCTATCTTCAGCAAATCATTTGGGACTATATGACAAGGTGTCACTCTAAGTTTTGCAATGTTTTCTTGACTATCAGGGTGGCAAGCTGAAGTATGGAAAAAATAAATGAAAATATAAGGATTAAATTAGAGGATGGACAATAAAAAAGCTTAAAATTTATTATTATTAAAAATTATTTAAAATATTTACTTAATTATGCATCTAATTTATGCAAGTGTGCTGTGAGTGTTGTGGGTTACTCTCAATATCTACCTCCTACTTAAGCATAAACATAATTAGTCCTTGTCTTATTCTTATTTTCTGCACATCATTTCATAGTTGTATGGTGCAATTTCAACCCAGTAATATAGGTTTAGAGATATCTCAGGAGTTACAAATTTCAGTGCTAAAATATCTGCTACATTTGTAAAATCTAAAGGAGGTAGAAAAAGATTCACATGTTTTAATGTGGAATGTATCAGCTGACTGCCTGCTCCTGTAAATAATGTTTTATGTAATTGTTCTCCAAAAAGGAACAGTAAATTATAGGAAAGTGGAATTTTCTTACATTAGAGTTATTGTGTTCCTTACTATTTTAGTAACTGACCAGATGCAGCATAGAGCAAAAACCTGAATTTCATAGAGATTGCTAACCTAATTTATCTAAGTGATGATACAGTGGGGTGAGTGACAGATTAACTGGGGAACACTTTTTTTTATTAGTCAGGTTACATTATTAAAATGAGTTTAGTAATCTTCACACTGAGAGCTATACATTTTCAGAATTCTTGATTATTTTTCTATATGAGCAGCAACAATCAAGCCGGGGGGGTGGGTCTTACTTGCATTTTTGGGGCAAATTTCATAACTGCATAGGCCTATATTAGAAAGTACTCATGACTCTCTATAGTTTTAAATTTTAACAAGAGCATATTTTTATTCTTGAATTGAATGTATTTTGAAATTGAGGATATCTGAATGGAGTTTTTAACATTTCCACTTTATATTGCCAGTTAACATTTCCACTTTATATAGTCAGTAACAGATAGGAATTCTTACATTATAGAGGCTTCACTCCTACAGCAGTAACTAAAGAAATTTTTTGTTTGTATCTCAAAGTATTCACATATTCTCAGATATTTCTAAATGGATCAAAGCATCTGGTCTGTAGTAATGTGTCTTGATACTTAGCATAGAGAGTTGTAATAACATTCTCTTTAGCAACTCAAGTTTTCTGAGTGATATCTTCATGTAATTAGCAAAACAAAAACCCACTGATACAACTTCCTTCTTCTGGTTGATGTGGAAGCAGAGCTGTCAGGTGGGAAGGAGTCAGCCTACAAAAGCTTGTTAGCCTTTTAAGTGAGCTGGATTATTTTAAATGTTTGGTTGAGCATGGTCACTGAAATCCCTTTACTCAGTTAAAGTATGTGTAGGATTAATGATATTAATGTTAGCAGGTTGGAATATGGCAACATTGGGTGAATGCATGAAATACTTTATAATATATATAAAAGAAAGTACTTTTTCTGGGGACTAATTTTCCATGAAATACTTGGTTTTATAGAGGTTGTGTAGACCACAATTGAAGGGCTTTCTTTTTGTCTTATACAATATTTTCCAAATATTGTCATGTTTTTATGTCTCCAGCCCTTTGTAGATGCTAACTCATTTATTTTGTGAAAAATATGTGTTTGAAAGCTACTTCTCACTGTGAATATAAGGATTTTTATCTACTGCTGGTGCACAAATTAAAGTCAGTTTGCACTGTTGGAACCTGCTATCAGTTTGGTAATCACTTATAATGTTTGCCCCTTATTGGAAGACTGTTGAGTGGAGAATTACCAAATCTAATACAGAATTGCCTGAATAAACCTGAATTAATCTGTAATAAAACTTTCTCAGCAAGAAACAAAGAATCATGCAGCTCTGTGAGCATGTGATGACATGAGTTTTTCAGAACTAGAGCAGAAAACAGATGACACTCTGCATGAATTGCTCATTTGCAGCAGGTACGAGATGGTCCATTGCTTGTGAGATGATATAAATGTTTATCTTAGTAGTGCACAGTAAACTCAGTGGGTGGAATGGTTTTATATTTAGAGAAGGTAAATCCCTTGGGGAGCCACTACCATGGTAGCTCTTTGCTTTCTCAGTTGGATATAGGCATGTCTTTTGGTTGTGTGTGTTTGTGTATAAATAACAAAATGCAGTAGGTGAATTGCCTCGAACCTGCTTTAAGCAGAACTGCTCCTTGTTCTCAGTATGGCATGTACATGTGTATATAACATAAATGTGTGTCTGTATATGTATTGGACTGCCTTAAAACCCACACAAAGAAATGGACATGCAGAGAAGTAAACAGGTTTCCAAGAGCCCAAGATGTTGGCAGAGATTGTGTGTCACTTGGCCTCATCCCATTAATATTAAAATAATCTTTTCTTGATGAAAACCTAATCAGAGAAGTGCTACTGTTAATTTGATTACAAGATAATTTTAAAGCATTTTCTCTGTCCTCGCCACCCAGGCACCCCTTTATGGCACTAAACCTGTTGTGTTGGCTTCATGTTCTGATGAGGTTTTTCAGTGCCTATTTAATGTAACGTTGTCATTTGAAACAGCAGTGAGCTGTTATTCTCACAGTTTATTTGAGACTGACGTGCAAGACAAAGGAAAACGTGTCAGCTGGAGGAAGTGCTCTGCAGCAGGTGGAGAACACGTTATTGCTAAGTTCACACAATAAGAACGCCTTTTGAAGTGTTTTCTGAAAGTCATACTCGCCCCCGTTCAGCAAGTGCTCTGTGTGTCATGCTTATCCTTCTCAAAAAAAAAAAAAAAAGTAAAGAAAGATTCATCACACTTATGCCAGCTTCTCCTTAGCACTCAGAGTCGATGCATTTCACAAGTCATGGGAATTGTTGTCAAAATAGAGTAGCTGAAAAGATCCGCTACCTGCTGTGAAATATTCATGGGGAGCTCTCTTGCCAAACTTGTATCCCCCCTTAGCTTCCAGGGTGGAGGGGGATGGCAGCTGCCCAGCCAGCAGCTCTCCAGCCTTCACTGGTGCAACCAAGCTGTGTCAGAGAGAGCTGACTTCACACGTACATTCGTACCAAGAGCAATTAACTGCCTGCACTCACAGTGCACCTTTGTCTTTTTTAGGCATAATATACAGCAATACTAAGGTTTATTATGTTTTTATGGAACACAAATGCACTTAAGAGGTTTAAAACAGGGTGACTTCCACATGTAAATCAGACAGCACTTGTCACATTGTGAGGGTGAACAGAATTCTGTCCAAAGGACCTTGGCACTTTGCCATGAAGCTCAAGGCAGAGTGAGATGATCAGCAGGTTTTCTTGTTAAAAAAATAAAATGCATTTTGGCATGTTTTTGCTATTTTGCCCCACTTCTTTACACAGTATGTACTGTGCAATTGGAAAGAAATTCGCAGCTGATTAACGCATGTAATCATTAAAACTGAAAGGGAAAGAGCAAAGGAAGGGCCAGGAGCTGCATCTCTGGATTCCATTTCCTCTGCAGGGAGTCTCTGGCCCACGGAGCAGAAGGTACCTTGTGGTGGGAGCAGAAGAGTGCAAAATGCAATAACCCAGGATATTTCCTTAATTAGATGTGTCCTTACTAAGTCTCTATCTTGCATGTATTTAGACTGAAGGGAAATAAGACAAATGGGAGGATAACACTTAAAATCCTGGTGACTTTATCTTTCTTACATTCTGAGACAGACCTCAGTGCAGATGAGGGTGATGGACAACACCATGGGCAGTGAAGTGTATTGTCTGAGTATAGTACTGCTTGTAGTGTGTGTTTTGGGAAGCAGCTGGGATTGTCAGGGTAAAACTCACACTGGCAAACCACTGCACTCTGTGTGTATGTTCCAGTTGCCTATAGTTTAACAGTCTGGGTTGCCATCTGAAAACTCCTACTCAGTTTTATTCATGCTAGTTAACAAAAATTATTTTGGTTACTTTTGGCTACTTTTTATATTTGTTTGCTGTTTTAGGCTAAAGAAAAGCAATGAAAAATCCCCTTGAAATGCAGACCAATTACTTGCTACATGCTTCATTTTTAAATAATGGAGGGTAGGTGAAGTGCTTACTTCTTGGGCACATGAACCTTTGCATTCAAGGTGTTGGAAAGGGGTGTGAAATCAGAGGTACAGCCAGAAGTGCTGCAGTGAGCAGTCAGAGCTCCCTGTTCTGAGCACCAACAGTGCATCTGATGTAGCTGGGGTACCTTATGTGGCAAAAACCTTTCTAATTTATAGCAGAGCACTGTCCTGTTACTGGGACTCGCTCCTGACTTTTAGAAGAGGTCACGATGGGCTCATTGCACACTGAGGGATTCTCTATGATTGTGGCCAGCTGGATGCCACCTGGATGCTTTTCCTCAGCGTCCTGTGTGTGCTGGCTCTGCCTGCTGATCTCATCTGAGGTGTGTGCCGTGCTTTTGGTCCACGGCTCCTCAGGCTCCCGCTTGGAGCTCCCGCCCCGCTCTTGCAGGCGCTGGTGTCTCCTGCGGCAGAGGAGGTGCAGGCAGCCGTAGAGCAGCACGGCGGCGATGATGAGGAGCAGCACGCTGCTGGTGAGCCAGATGCCCAGTGCCAGCTCTTTCTTGGTGCTGTTCGCCGATGCTGGGTCCCGTTCCAGCGTGTTGAAAACTCTGCACTGGTCGCTGGAGGGGTTTGCGGACTGGCAGGTCACACACATGATGTATGTCGTGAGAGGAGTCAGGTTTTCAACAACAAAGGAGGAGCGAGTGGTGGGCACCCTCTCTTCCCTCTGGAAGCTCTTTCTGGAGTAGCTGGACAGCATGCTGTTCCAGTTAGGGTGGTACATGATGCTGTAAAAGCTGTCGACACAACTGGCCATTTTTGGCCAAATTACCATTGCTGTGTTTCCTGTGATGTTTTGGATGGTTATTCCCATCAGGATGATTTTTGGGAGGTTTTTTCCCTCTCTTGATGCTGATCTCCCTGTGGAAAGGGAAGATGTTCTTTAGAGAAGCTGCAGCACTGAGGATGTCGTTTGGATCTTAATCGTAGTGCTCTGTAATGTAGGAATGGAGTTTGTTAGGAAAGTATGCTCTCATCTTTGGCACTGCAGTGTAAAAATGGGAATGAAAGTTCATAAAGTCTGGGGTGTTTTAAGATGTGTATTTCTCTTCCAAGTGAAAGTGTAAAGATAAACTTAGAGAAGTTCAACCAGAGCTGCTGCCTGTACAAGTGACCGGTTGTATCTTGAGAGATGGTGAATTTTTTCAGAGTTTACAATTGGGGAATCACTTCCTTTCACTTTTTTTTCCCAGGTGATTGTAGAAAAATGCAGCAGGTGTTTTTTTCTCTAGTCTGTGTATCTTGCATTTTATGTTAAGTGGCAAGAGGGATTGGCAGGAGTGGATATTGAGGAATAATTGCCTCTACCATTCACAAGTCTTTATTTTTGCTAGTCACAATTAGTTGAAGAACAAAAGAGTATGTGGAAACCTGACTACATATTTTGTATTATTTTGTCTCCAATATCTTATGTTAGTTTCTTATTCAAAAGTTCACATAGGAACACCTTCCCTATGAAGACAGGCTGAGAGAACTGGGGCTGTTCAGCCTGGAGAAGAGAAGGCTCCAGGGAGATTTTACAGCACCTTCTGGTATCTAGATACAGCAATACAGCTGGAGAGGGACTTTTTATGCAGGCAGATATTGAAAGGAAGAGGAGGAGTGACTTTAAGCTTAAAGAGGGTATATTTAAATCAGATATTACAAAGAAATTCTTTGCTGTGAGGGCAGTGAGGCATTGGAATGTGTTGCCCAGAGGAGCTGTGGAAGGTGTTCCTGCCTGTGGCAGGGTTGTTGGAACTAGGTGACCTTTCAGGTCCCTTCCAAGCCAGTCTGTTGTGTGACTCTGTGATACTCTCTGTGTTTTGCTGCTAAGTTGCACACCTGTAACCACTGCAGCCACACTGCGGCAGTGGCTGTGAGCACGGTACATTGGTGATATCAGTGTCACAATAGTGAGTCTTGATGCTAGTCAGCCTCTTGGAAAAGCTTTGTCAAGCTTAGTGAAATACAGCTTTCACTATAGCCTACCTTTTGGATAAATAGTGGGGATTTTTAAAAATTAGTAATGCTCTTTGCTGTTTAAGTCATTTTATGTAATCCCATAGTCTGCCTGCCCTGAATTTATACTCCTCCTCGTCCTCAATTCAAATTAGAAAATCTGACAGTATTTTGAGATTCTCAGTATGTGTAACCACTGTAAATAGTGAAAGGAAAACATCTCTTTTCTGCAATTTCTCTAAACACATCTGTTAAAGAATGTATAATAACAACCAGTGGGTATTTTCATTTGTTTGGCTTGGGTTTTATGCTTTTACTGTTGTGAGGGTAACTTTTGAAAAAGAGCTTACCTCAGCAATTTAATCTGATCCCTTAGTTTGACTGTCAGCTTCCAGTGGCACTCGTGGAAGCTTTCTTCCACTTTGAAAGTTTCTCACTTTTTTGTGACTGTAAATGCCTATGACAGTAACACTGTATTTCATTGTTTATGACTTTGTTGTGAAAATTTAATTTTTTTTTTTAAGATCAAGTGTAAAATGTTACATTTCCTGGCTAAGTAACAATTAATTATTGATAGTTCTCCTGAGGAAGAAAGATTGTGAAATTTGCTCATAACATATTCTGAAATTATTCTGTAATGCTAGTATTTTATAGTAGATAGGAGACTGGGAAAATGTATATTTTATAGGATATTTTTAAATGGGATTTAGATAGTGGCACTACATTAATAGTAAGAATTCTGTGCCTGTTTATTTATGAAAATTGTTGCTCAAGGGTTTTGGATTCTACTTCCTGAGAAGTGGGAAGAAAAATATGTATGTTTATTTTCATGACAATATAAAACCATGGATACGACTGATCTGGGGAGATGCTGCTCTTCTAATTCTGTGGTAAAGGCACCCTTTTTAATACAGCATCAAGATAAAGGAACTGAGTTTGCTATCAGATAAACTTAACAAACAGACACATTTTGGCATCTACCCAGCTACTGCAGATATTAAAATAGGGTGCATTAGTGAGATCAGTTACCTTCTCTTTAACTGGTAGCTCCCTATTACTTAAAATCATAATCTATGTCTATTATAATCTAGTGGTTTTTTAGAACACTTTTTAACACAGCCTAGGAAAAATAGTTTCAACAGTTTAATCCTCTTAGCATTTTGTAAGTAGAATGAACTGTAATTAAATAACAATAATACATTTCCATTGTTACAAACCATCAGTTATTAGAAAACACAGAATTACTGACATGTAAATGTTTGGAGAAGCCATCTGATGTTTTATGGATCATAAAGTCAGTACTTACCGTCGCTCCCTGATGGAAATTCCAGAACAGAATTCCTTTACGGCGATGCTGCTGTGAAAATGTTACAAACACCACTTTTTTTGTATCCCTTTCTACATGAATTATTTCCTAACTGATCTCTGTTTGCCAGTTTGCTTTTTCTTCTCCTCAGATTCTCTGGACTGAATTCTCATTGCTTGGTGATTTCAGTTTTTTTCTCTGATGCTGCTGGTAGCATGGTTTCTTTGTCTCTTCCACTTAAATTCCTGCAAGAGCACATCTTGTCTAAAGGTGCTGTTGCTTTGCTTTTTAAAGACCTCACAGGAGAAGAAAATAATGTCTTTTCCCCCCTCTCTTGTTTGCCTCCCCTTGGCAGTATGCAGCCTGAGCATCCCTGTTATATACTCTTGTGTGTGGACCAGTGATGCTGTGAGTGATTAATGTTAGCACTTTGATGACATCAGCAACTAACAACTCTCTCCTTTTTTTTTTAATTTAAGTAGGGGAGGGAGCAAGTATAGCTTAAAAAATAATGAACAGCAAATTCCCTTCCCTCCCTTTCCACCTCCACCCCCCCTCTAGTTAGTGGCTTCTTCCCTAAGGATTTTATGCTTTTGTGTCTCACTGTGGGGGGGGGGGAGAAGTGGAGTTGGTGTGTAATGTTTTTTCCTAAATTCCTTGTTACAGTTTAGAAAGATCGACTAATGCAATGTTTACAGGTGGCCTGTAAATTTTAGGTACTTCCCCATGAGGTTTACATGAGAGATATATTTTTAGATTGGCTGGCTTCTTATTGTTATATATTGGCAAGTTTTTTAAATACAAAAATCGTGTTTTTAGGGCTTGCTTTTCTATGACAAATTCCTGCTGTGTGGAGAGAGGTTCTCTCCCTTTAACCTCATGGCAGTAAAAGGCTTTAACCCACTAAAATAAAATTCTCCTTGTGCTGTAGCTGAAATAGATAGTTCTGACATGTTTGTTGTAGGAGACTTACCTAATTGGAAACATCAAAACCAAAAAATGAAATCTCATCTTTTAAGGGCGGTTGTATGAATCCTTAGTTTATCAGGACATTCATCTGCACATATGTTCTTAAGGGTTTACCACTTCCCTGTGCTGTCTTTGCCCCAGACCTCATTTTTGTCTGCAGAGAGCTATGGAAATGCACAGGTTTTACTGGAGGGATACAGCTTTAGGCTGTGCCCTGCTGGGACACATTTGGAGTTTGGCCTTTAAGCCAGCTCTGATGTAACAGCAGGACTGTGTTATGTACTAGGATTCAAATAGTTATTCAAGTGTCTATTTTAGTTTGCATTTAGAATTTTTAAGTTTCTAAGACCTCAGCTGGAAACTGGTGTTTATATAGAGACATATAACATAAATAAAAATGTGCATATTCTATTCTGATTGCGTCAAAAGATGATTTTTGAGTCCTTTTATGAGAATAAAATCCTTCCAGAGCTTGGTAGAGTTTCTAAATTGAATTCCAACTAGCTTAATGCCATGTGGTTACAGTATCTAGTGTTGACTTGCATGGGTAGTTAGGGCAGGATCTGGATTGAAGGGAATGTTCTTCCTGGACAATATTCTGTTACAGCTGTGTGTCAAGTTGAAAGTTTAACAGTATGCTGTTTTCCATGTGTGTTTTAGAGAGAATGAAAATTCAAAAAACTGGGGGAAACACAACAGTCCCTTCTGTATGAAAGGTGGCCAAGATTCCTGCTAAAATTAAATTTCAGGGTATTAGGAGAACAACCCACTTGTAGAAATGGAGAATGCTAAGTTAGCCAACCATCTCTAATCTGCAGCTTCAGCAACCAGTTCCTAAATCCTCACATCACATCAGTCTGTACAGCTGTGTTCACTTTCATGGAAGTAAACATCACTATGGCAAAGCACCTGGTCCTATTTATACAAGTGTTGAAGAATTTCTGTGAGGTTGCATCCCAGACTTAGATTTGCTTTGATCTTGTGTACAGTGCAGGGGTTTGAAAGAGAAAGATCCTTGTTAATTAGTTGCAGAGAGCAGTAGCTGCAGAAGGCTTTTTTTTTTTTTTGTAGTTGACTACTCAGAGACTTAAAACAGCACTTATGAACAGAAAATTGAAGTAATTTCTTTCAAGATGTTTTTCACATAAAATAGAAGATAGAGGAATAGAAGTTGTGCTTTAAATTCAGGGATCTGGACATGGCATTGGCTACTTATACCCCTTTATGCTTGTGTAAATAGAAAAGTAAAAAAGAGAAAGTGTTTGTGGTTTTATAAATGGTAAATAGAAGATGTCTGCTTGAAAACAAAGTGCTCACTAATTTGTCTTGCTGATAGATTTAAGTTCCTGCCTTAAGAGAAACTGCCAAAAGAGAAATTGTGTATTTAAACCTCTTTCAGAGACAGTGAGATACAAAGGTTTTATTTCAGTTTTAATGTGCTTTGAAATGACATTTAAATTACATTATTATTGAGATACAGGCAGACAAAATTTTCATTAATCATATCTGTTTTCTTATTTTAGGCATTGAATTTGGCATATTCCAGCATTTACAGCAACTACAGGAATTTTGTTGGTCCCCCCCACTTTAAAGTCATCTGTAGACTTCTTGGATATCAGGGCATTGCTGTGGTGATGGAGGAGTTGCTGAAAGTTGTCAAGAGCCTGGTATGCTACTTGTCCTTATTTTTCTGCTAGTTCAAATGGTTTCTTAGAGGAAATGTCTCAGGAAAAACAAAGTGAAATTGAGACCCTGGATAAAAATAATTAAAATAACTTCCATTAAAATTTGATATAAGCTGTGCTTGACAGTGCTCAATGTCTTGTGTGAGCAATAGAAATAAGTGCCTTGGTGCCCTCAGGAGTGTTTTGAAAACTTTGGATTCTTCAATGGAGATTCATGCAATTTGTGGTGACCTGAGCTGTTAGGGCCTAGGTAGGCTCTGAAAAAATATGAGTATTTTAAATTAGTTGATTACAACTTAAAGACCATACTGTACATTCACTTTCTTGATATTTTTTGAGAACAGCTGTAGTGTGCTTTCTGCCTGGCACCTAACTTCAGGGCTCTCATTAATGACATCACTGATTGATGACTCATTAACAACAGGAGTTTAACCTCTGTGCTTGATTAGCAGTGCTGTTCAGGCCAGCTTTGAAGACATTATCCACACAGCCTGGGTATCCTGGGTATCTTTGTAACTGGGAGGAGGTTGAGGTGCTGGCTGTTTGCTATACTATTAGAATCTACATATACAGCCACAGTGCATTGCAGTTAATTTAAGCCAAAGAAATTATATTTTCCTCCCTGTTGTTTGTAGGAGCATGCTGCCAAAATAATACAACTGTACCAGGGAAAGCTGTGGTATTCATAATCGTACTTCAGGCACTTGACACATTTGGCAGTTTGTTTACAGTAATTCCCACAATGTTCTAAGTACATTTCTGATGTTCTAGAAAGGCTGAATCCTGCTTGAAAAGATGCTGTAATTTAATCTTCAGGGAAAGAGGAAGACACTCATATTTTTCAGGGTTTGAGTGTCAAGTATTAATTTGCTGTGTTTTATGAGAGGGGTGCTTTTATAACTTAGTGGTAAACTGTCTCAATTCATTAAAGGTGGCATTGAACACTTGGTCACTTATAAAGAAGGTTAAAAGGCCTGGGGAGGGTGTCCTGCCAATGCCTGATGCAGATGCTCAGATGTAGGGGGACAGATAAGGGAGAGGTGTCTAGTGGTTGGAAGACAGGCTGACTGCAGGCTGGGACTGTCTCAGCTGGTATTGCCAGAAGAACCAGTTTGGGCTGTTGCCACCATTCCTAATCATAAGGGCTTTTTTCATGTTGCTTTTGAACACATTCAGATGCTTTTTGAATGGTTTTTACAGCATTCAGATGCAGCTTTTTAACCAAAAACCTGAAAGTTAGTTAGACAGTAAAGAGTCCATAAGAGAAAAATATGTTTTCCTTTTTTACCCTCCTGGCCTTAGCTGTTGTGCCACTCCTCTTGTAGCAAAGATGGCTAATGCCATGTGAACTCTTTAAATTTGAAAAAGTTGCCTTTTTAAATATGCTGACTGGCAGAATTAAATGCAAGATTTTTAGAGCTGCTTCAGGTCATGTATAATTTGAATGTAGTTTGTTGTAAAGTTTTGTAGTTCAACAGCACTGACATGTTTACATACATCTGTTTTCTCTTAGTTACAAGGGACCATTCTTCAGTATGTCAAGACCCTAATGGAAGTGATGCCTAAGATCTGTAGGTTACCAAGACATGAGTATGGTTCTCCAGGTTAGTTTGTGTTTGATGTTACCTTAGCAGCCTTAATAAGATGATACCAACCACTATCTTCTGAATCTTTATATCTGTCTTTCCCTCCCTCCTTTTTCTCCTAATAATCAGATTTTAGCCTAGCTTTACTTTTTTATTTCTTTTTTTTTTTTCCCATCAAAACAATCATTGAATGCTATGCTTTCTGAAAGTACTTAATGAAGTTTTAAGACTTCTGTAAGTAGGGCAAAAGGATGACAATCTGTATAGAGACAGCCTTATGACATAATTGATCTTGAGCTGGGATGTCCACAATAGTTTCTGTTTCTTGTCTTTCTAATAAGTGTGTTGAGCTTTTGCCTCAGCAAGTTAGCCTCTCACATTTTTTCTGTTTAAATGTCTAATTTAGGTAACCCAGTTCTCTGGAACAGCCTCTTTTCCCTTTCCTTTACCCTCACCAAATACAGGATAAAAGGAGTGATACTGCTGGGAGGTAAACTGGTCCTGCCAGAATAGTTATGTCTGAGGCTTGTGTGGGGTGCATCTTAGCCTCTCAACAGGAGGTGTGACAGTTGCAGAAGAAGAAATGGCATTGAAAGCTGCTTGCCACTATGGAGAAATAATTGGCTAATTAGTATTTATCACATTGTTCACTGAAATTCTGAATCTGCTTTCTCCTTCAAAATATTCCTCCTTCACAACTTCTAATTAACACAAATTAGTCCTTCCATGTGCCACCCACCTCCTGAGTTTATTTTTCCAGAGTCACTTAGTTTTATTAAATGCCACTCCAACTGGAATGAGGTTGGGTTTTTTCTGCTTCCCACAGCTTGCTTGACGTTCATTACCAATGTTAAATGAAATTGAGGTCTTACTAAGTGTTTCCTTCCTGTTTTTCTCCCTGGAGCACAGAGATGGATGAATCATGGTAGTTAGGAGTATAAAAATAATCTCTCTGAGGCTTTTAGCCATTCATCAAGGTCTGACCACAAAAGCAGTAGGTATTCTCAAATATAGATAATGCATCACCAGGATCTGTGATGCTACACGTGACATGAGGAAGCTTGCCAGAAATCCTCACCTG